TCACAGAAGAAGTACAAATTGCCAATATGTATGAAGAAATGCCCAACATCTGGCCATTAGAGAAATGCCAATTAAAATAACACTGAGATTCCATCTTACCCTAAAATAATGGCCGTCATCAAAAAATCAAATAACAGGGGCCGGGGATTTAGCTCAGCGGTTTCACTGCCTGCTGGGCAAGCGCAAGGACCTGAGTTCGATCCCCGGTACCAAAAAAAAAAAAAAGAAATCAAGTAAGAACAAATGCTGTAAAATAGGAAGAAAAGGTCCAAAGGGGAAGGGGTAGCGGGAGGGGCAGGGGAAAGGAAAGAAGGGAAAGGAAAAATGATGAGAAATGGAAAAAATGTAAATAAAGTCTTTGTAAATAGGGAAGGGTGCAGGGCGTGAAGGGAGGGCTAGAAATGGGGAAAAAATAAGAACCAAGATGCATTATGTAAAGGTACAATTCCCAATGAGAAATGTAATTGTGTTGTATACCTACAATGTACCAATAAAAGAATTTAATACAAAAAAAAAAGAAAAAAAATGCTGTGCCACCGCCTGCCTTGCAAGCGAAAGGTTCCAAGTTCGATCCCCAGTATGAAGAAATTGTAAAAATATTTCTGCCAACTATTAAATCATTTTTATAGGTCATGAAGTAACGATGCAAATATGAAGTAATGAAAATTATTTTGTGTTTAGTATTATTAATATAAAAATTAGAGCTGTTAGGTGGTGATGATTGGGTGCCAGCAGTCAACAGAGTTGGTCGAGTATGAGAATTAGGCAGATGTTCATCTGTTCCCTAGTTGGGACCTCTCTGAGTTAGAGAATGGGAAGATGGGGCACTGTCTGAAGTTAGCCCTATCATGGAAGAAAAAGGACTAGAGGATACAAATAGTTTCAGACCATCTGACACCCAAAGAAGCATAATACTTTGGAAGAACTGAAAGTGATAATGGAAACTCAAAAGGAGCTTCAGGTCTTAAATGAAAAGACTACCTAACATTAATATTACAAGGCTATTATTATGAAGTTCATCGAGCAGTATCATTGCTGCTTGGTGATTCTTACTAGGTTATTCTTACTACTAAAAAATAAAACTGAAAAATAATTAGAGGAAATCTAAAAATACAGTAAACATGTGTGGAGTTTACCTTTGAAATTTACAGTATGTTGGAAATTTACATATCTGAAGAAACCTACTCTGAGTAGCTCCAATGTGGCTCCTTCTCTATTCAGCCACATTGAGTCTACTCTAGAAATATTTTTTATATTTATGACTTTATTACTTTAATATCAATTGGTAACACAAGATTAAACATTTTCACACTCCTTAGACCCAATCAATTTAATTTTGTTGATTTTTATCATTGTGATTTCTGATTCTTTATAGTTTGATTTTATACTTTTAGACTTTGAAATTTTCTAAATATTCTGTCTGGCTTTTAAATAATTATCTGAAAAGGAGGAAATATTTTTACATTGTTCTTTTTTCTCAGCTGTACCAGGTACTTTATGTACATGTAATTGTATTAACTTTCTATGATTACCATAACAAGGGACTATAGAGTAGATAGTTTATTCCATAGAAATTTATGTTCTCACAGGCTTGCAGTTCTGAGATCCAGGTGTCAAAAGGCTGATTTCTCCTCCCAGGGCTCTCTTTGTGGCTTAGAGATAGTCACCTTTTTTGATGTGTTCTCACATGGTCTCCCTCTGTGCCTGTCATAATTTCCTCTTCTTATAAGGGGACCTCTCATATTGGATTAGAGCCCACTCTATACAGAACTCATTTAATGAAATTACCTCGTTAACAGCCCTTACTTTAAATATAGTCATTTTGAAGTCCTGAGGGTTAGCATTATCAACTTACAAATTTTGGGTGGGACACAGTTCAGCCCATAGTAATGGCAATTTTTAAAGGATGTCTTATTGGGAACCCCCAATGATGCCTCCCTGACCCCCGATTAGGTATGCAACACGGAATGAAGACAACAATAAATAGTAAAGGAAACGAACCCTAGGAGGTCAGAGCTTCTGGTGAGCAAAGACCCTGAACCTCTGGACTTCCTAGTGTTTTATTGAACACAAAGTATTGGGGGGACCAGGACCGTGTGGTGAGGTATGTGGTATGATGATCAGGGGTGCTGACATGTGCGAGACCTAGCAAGAATAGAACAAAGCATTTTTGCAAGAAGTGAATCTTAGGTTAATGGGAACTTGTTCTTTCCCTTAGATTAATATTAACTTTTTATAGAGGATCAGAAAGAATCATGGGTTCTTCAGCTGCAGATGCTATCAGCTAATACAGGCACCACAGTGTCATTGACCTAGGTTAGTCTTAGCCATGGCCAGTGGCATGTAGAGTTCTCTTTCTGCAAGCCAGCTGCAGCCATTATGCTGTGCACTTAAGCCTTAGACCAGTTCGGAATTGTAAGTATAAGTCAATTGTATTAAACCAATTGAATATAATCAAAGCCTGCTCAACACCATCTTAAGGTGGTTTCCTTCAATGTCTGATTACTATATTAGTCCACTGATTGGTTTGGAATAACTCTGAGTAGGTGTAAGGGTGCCCTGCCTGGATGTGAGTGCTACCCAACTGAAGGGCAAGTAGCCTGGATAAGATATAAGGGACAGAAAGAGGGTCCTTGTCACTTGATGCTTATTGTTGCTGCTGCTTGTCTTTGGCTCAACAATGCCCCTCTGCCATGCCACCCTGCCTTGAAGCCAGCTGATTATGGACTGAAATCTCTACAAACTGTGAGCCAAAATCAACCTTTCATCCCTTAACTTTGAGTGTTGAGTATTTTGTCTCAGCAATGAGAAAAGTAACTAAGACAGTCTTACTACCAAATATTTAAGAAAATGTTGATTTAATATGTAAGTTATATAAAAGATCTAGCAGTAGTTAGGATATTTAATCTGAAAGCAAAAGAACTGATACTAGTGAGAAAAACTCATCTATATCTTAATGTTACAACACTAAAAGCACATCATATTCTGTACTTCATCATGATTCAGCAGCATTTATTGGTCAGATGTCTGATAAGAAAGGCCTTTAGAAATTTTAGTAACTTTTGACTATGATACAAGATAAACTTCAAATTCATTTTAGTATAGAGCTAGAGAAGACCTTCAGAGGTCATGTGGTTCTCCTCCTATACACAAATTATATTTGTACATACACACAAAGACACACTCTACACCACACCCCACATACTTTAGTATCCTGCACCAAATGGTTGTTTAGGCTCAGAACCAGAAAGGAAAAACTAATTTAAGGACAGAGTATTCCATGTTTGAGCTATTTAATTCTGATATCCTTTTTTTTTTGGTTTAGTTTAATGTAGACTCCCTATGGCTCTCCTTCCTTTGGTACTGGTCATGCTTTTGATCCATAAATGTCATCTAGTCTAGCACTGAACATTTGAGTTTCAGCACCTCTTTTAAAAAAAAGTCCTCTTTTGAACTTTGTTTTCACCTCTTACTAAGAGTCTTCTTGAGAAAGTTGTGTATCACCACAACTCAGTTTTCTCATTTGAATGAAGAAAAAAAAAGAAATAACTACTTCATCAGGCTTACTGGAGGATTAAATATGATAAACGCTCAATGGGAGTGCCAGGAACATTTGATATCACCAATTCGCCCCACTAAAATATAGTTCTACTCTCTTCTAATCCTGTACCACCCCAAGTTCAATACAACTTGTTTTAAAAAATGCATATCATTTTCTCTTATAATAACACTGAATCAATTTCCCTGTTTAAAATTAAATAAATTATTTAGAATTATTGAATGAATGTATTAGTTGAAATTTTCATAATGCTAAAATTAATATATATATTCATAATCATGAAATTTTAAGATGACTATACACTTACAAATATTTAGGTTGTTTTGGTCTTTCTTTTTTTTAGGCTTTTTTTTTTGAGATAGAGTCTTACTCTAATTCAGGCTGGCCTTGAACTCACTATGTAGCCTATGCTGGCATCCAACCCTCAGCAATCTTCCTGCCTCAGCCTCCCAAGTCCTGGCATGAAGGCATGAGCCACTATGCTCAGTCGGGCTTTTTTTTTTTTTAAACAAAAATCTAATGAACTAAGTAAATTGAATAACTTTCTAGTGTGGATTTTCTCAGATCAGAGGGATTTTTTAGAAATTTTTCTTTAATTTTCTATTTAGGCTTCATATGGAAATATTGTTTCAGTTTTGTTTATTAAAGTTGTCAATGACAGAAACTCTCTGATACAAATATAAAAATGAAAAGCCAACCAAACCTAGAATACAGTAGTAGAAGAACAGAAAGGGACAAAAGTGGGAAATGAATATTCAAAAAGAAAGATGAAACAAATCAGTGTTTCTAGAGATTTATGAGAGCACACTCGTAAACATTTATTTTTAATAAAAACATTCCATTTCTGATAGGATTTTTTAACAATTTGATCACCAGGTCATGGAGAAGATGGAGGGGAAAAGGTATACTATAAAATTGTGGAGGTTTATTTCTGCTTTTCTCCATTATTTTTACTCTATAGTGCTATCATAGCCTGAGATACCAGTATGGGGGGGGTACATTCTTGGCTCAGAATATACGACCTTTCTCCCACTCTGTTAAAAATCGTACCAGAGGATTAAAATATTTGTAATTAATTGTTGTGATTGATTAAAGTTAATTCAACGATGCCATGAATTTGATAAACCTTTTTTCTCTTGTCTTTTCTGTCAGCGGTACCTAAATATCATTTACTGACACAGGAGATCATTCCTTTGCTTTTAAATTTTTTTATCTATCTCACATTTGTGACCATTTCAAAAGTTTCCATAGCTTCAAAGGTACAACTTAATACTTCTAGCAAATTAATACCCTATCTTTAAAAGATATGAGAAGAAATATGTGTTTTATAAAAATATCATTAAAATTCAAAGGAAGAAGTTTGATATATGATTATGATAGATGTGTTGATGTCTGCCTTTTTTAAAGCATCGAAATAATTTAAAATATTTTCTTTTGAAAGTTGGCCAGGGATACTTTGTCCTGATCCTTTTAAAGGGAAATATGTAACCTATGATTCAGATGGAAATGTTGAACAGTATCACATAGAATTCCTGGGTGATCTCCATTCAAGATCATGGATAAATGCAGAATTTATTGAATATTATAATATCACATTAAAGGTAGGTGCAATATCATCAAAACTTTAATAGTTTTGTATTTTTATTTATGGTCTTTTTAAATCAAATATTCTAAAAATACATATAATCACACTTAGATTTATATAAGTAAAATATTATACTTTCCTTAAGTTCAAACACTAGTATTTTTTCAAAGTACTTGTGGATATAAAATAGCCATGGGAGTTTTACTTCGTTTTTCTAATGGCAATATAGTAAAAATCAACTTAAGCCTTTACATAATTGCTTTCTGAAGCAGCATTAAGATTATCATTTGGTAATTTTTAAATTCTCTCGGGAAGGCTCTAAATTATAGCCCTACTCATAGGGAAAATTAATTATGAGATGCAACCAGCATTTCAAATTTCAAATTACTAACTCCAATATCTTTTCACTCTTTGTAAACTTGAAATTCCATACTACAATTAATAAATACACTGAATTCTCAGATAGAATGCATATATAGGTGAACTCAACTGGACCTATTTCCCAAGATTTGTTGTAATAAGTATAAATCAATTCAATTTATTCATGTCTATATCCTAATATTAAAATTTCTCATATGAAAACTATGCTTTCATTAAAATGTTGATAAAAAGTATATATCATAAATGTATATACCTTTGAATCAGTTTATCTGTTATTGTAATAAATATACATATTCAAATATACATGTAAATGTATATATATATTTAAAATATGCAATTTGATCTGCGTTAACATTAAATGTGGAAATTTTAGGTACTTTAAAATGGGCTTTTCCTTTATCTTTATCATTTTTGTACAGTTTTAAAGCAGCTAGAAGGAAGTGCTATTTGAGTAAAAATATGTAAGTAGTAAGCAACACCATATACATCAAAATTTCGTGTTAGTGAAAAGGCAATCATCTTAATGTGAGACAGCTTTTCTGCTCAGGTTTTGGGTGAGTTCCTAGACATGTTTGTTGGCAATCACAGGAGACAGGAAGCAGTGTTTCTTCTGTGCCCTCTTCCCTTTCCTAAAAGATGAGGGAACCTAGCAGCTCATGAAACTGACCTTAGAATCTTATTTAATGATGTGTTAAAGAGCAGGGCATTCCTAAGAAAGAATATTTAAATAAAAATTAAAATATATTTTTTAATTGTTGGAACAGATATTCTCAGGATTAAGTTACATCAGGATTAAAGTGAGTAGTCTGATTCCAGTGAGCCATACCATTAATCTTTAAAAAAAAAAATGTGATGTAGAAAAAAGCCAAACTCAGGAGTCAAGATCCTGAATTTGTCAGCCTCTTAAAAGTATCAAAGCAAGCTTAGAAATTCTTATACAATGACCCAAAAGTGAAGGCTGTTAAGGCTCTTAAGGCAGATCTCCAATGATAGGATGACAGCAGGGGTAAAATCAGTGTTTGCTCTCTTTTCCCTTTCTTCATTGTCTCCTTGGTCACTTGATCTAGGTGGAGAACTTGATGAGAACCCACATGCTTTGCAGCAGGTTTTCTCCTGGACTGTCACTTCAGGGCACTTACTTGTAGGATCTACCTCTGTCCTTCACTCTTTTCTTGTCTGTATTTTTTTTTTTTAATTTGCTCCTTTGTAGCTGACAGAATAAAGAAGGCTTCTTCCATGGGTTTCTTCATTCAGAGCCAAACTTTTAATTCCCCTTTAGCTCAAATTCAGCTGATACATGCCAAACTCTCCTATTATGCTCAGACTCCGCACTCTTTGCTATCCAAGAATCTCTACTCAACAAAAAGTGATAACTAACAAACGATTAAATCCTCATTGTCTCAATTACTCAAGAAACTATGCAGAGAGGTTTATTCAGGATGATATATAAGAGAAATTTATTGAAAATGAATAACTTCAAAGTAGGAGTAACTGACATTTCCCTGTCCCTTAGAAATAGAGATGGTATTGACTCCAACCTACAATTTTATTACTAAGACTTTCCAAGGATTTAGTGTTTTATGGTTCTCTCTACCCTGGAGTGTCTATATTTTCAAATTCTATATTAAACTCTATTACATTGATCCAAATATTAAATGTACACCACTGCACTCAGGAAAAATAAAGATTATTTATGCAAAAAATAATTTTGGCGGGCTGGGGATTTAGCTCAGTGGTTCCGGCGCCTGCCTTGCAAGTGCAAGGTCCCAAGTTCAATCCCAGGTACCAAAAACAAAACAAACAAACAAACAAAACCAAAAAGAATGATTTTGGCAATTCATGTGTATCTGGGAATCTCTCCATTTTTTTCTGTTCTCCAGTTGTTTGGCGTATGCTCATGCAGTAGTTGCTAATAATTTTCTGGATTCCATCAGTATCCATTGTGATTTTATCTTTTTCATTTTTAATTATATTAATTTTTGTCTTTTCTTTCTTTTTTTGTAAGATTGGCTAAGGGTTTGTTGATTTAATTTATTTTTTCAAAAAACAAACTTTTTTATTCGTTGATTCTTTTTTGTCTCCATTTCATTAATTTCTGCTCTGATCTTCATAATTTCCTTCAAGATCTAAGTTTGGATTGTTCTTGTTTTTCTAAGACCTTGAGGAGCACCTTTAAGTTATTTATTTGGAATCATTTTGTTTTTCTTTCTTTTTTTTTGGTACCAGGGATCGAACTCATGTCCTTGGGTTTGCGCAGCAGGCGGCGAAACCACTAAGCTAAATCCCCAGCCCTCATTTTGTTTTTCTAATGCAGGCAATAACTTCTGTAAACTTCCCTTGTCGGACTGCTTTTATTGTGTTCCATAATTTCTGATAATTGTACTGGCATTAGTAATTAATTCTAGGAACTCTTTTATTTCTTCCTTAATTTCTTCTTTTTAATTTCTTAATTTTCTTCTAGTGATTATTCAAGAACATGTTATTTAATTGCCATATGTTTGCATAGTTTCTATGATTTCTTTTGCTCTTGATTTGTAGTTTCATTGCAGTATTATCCAATAATATGCATGGTAAAATTTTGTTTCTTTTGCATTTACTTAGTCATGCTTCACTAGCTAGTATATGGTCTATTTTGGAGAAAGTACCATGTGCAGCTAGAAAGAATGTATATTCTGTTATTGTTGAGTGGAACATTCCGTATACTTTTATTAAGTCCATTTGTTCAAAGGTTTGGTTCAACTCTGATATTTCTTTTTTGACTCTTTTTTGTTTGGTTGATCTGCCTATTTGTGATAGTGGGGTATTGAGGTCCCCACTATAATTATATTGATGTTTTTCTGATCTTTTATATCCTCTAGAGTTTATTTTATGAAGTTAGGTATATCATGGTTTAATACATATGTGTTTATAATTTTCATTACTTCCTGCTGAATAGTTTTATTAACAGATAATGTAATGCCCCTTTTCACCTCTTCTGATCAGCTTTGGCCTAAAATCCACCTTGTCTAAAAATAGGATAGTTACTCCTGCTTGTTTTTGGGCTCTCATTGTATGGAGTATTGTTTTCCATCCTTTGATTTTTAGTCCGTGAATTTCCTTTTGTGTTAAATGTGTTTCTTATATACAGCATACTATCAGATTTTGTTTCTTGATCCATTCTGCTAAACTATGTCTTTTGTTTGGTGAGTTAAGTACATTTACATTGGTATTTATAACAGATAGGTATTCGTATACACCTGGCATTGTATAATTTGTGTTGCTGTTTTGCTTTCTTTCTCTTATCCTTAATTACTATCGTTATCGAATATATTCATTTTATTGGATATTTTGTCATTGTTAGCTCATTTTCTCCTTCTAGGATATCCTTGAGAATTTTTTTAGGTGCTGTTTTGATGGTCATGAATTTCTGTAGAGTTTCTTTATTGTGGAAGCATCTTATTTGTCATCAATTTTGAAAGATAATTTTGCAGGATATAATAGTCTCAGGAGGAAATTATTTCCTTTAAGAGCTTGAAACACTTTGTTTCATTCTCTCCTTGCCTCTAAGGTTTGTGTTGAGAAATGTGTTGTAATTCTGATAGATTTTCCTTTATAGATGCTTTGTGGCTTTTTTTTCTAGCAGGCTTTAAAGTTCTGTTATATTTCCGGCATTTTAATTATTATGTGGTGTCAGGTCGTTTTTTTTTTATGATCATGGCTATTTGGGGTTGTATATGCTTCACTTAAATGTATGTTAAATTCTTTTCCCTTGTCTGGAAAGTTTTCTGCTATTACTTCTATAAACAGTTTGTACTATCTTTGAATTTTTTGCTGTTTGCAATTACTCTTGTATTAGACCTCTTTGAGGTACCTAGTACTAAGGCTGATCAGATCCTTAGCTACCTTTGGGGGAAAAAGATGAGGAATAAAAAGAAAGAGACAAATACTATTTTCAGGATATAAAAAGGAGACTGGGAGGAGACCTTCCTTTAGTGGACAGACTGGAATAAAACTCCATGGTTGGCCCACTTTTTTGGGGGGGCACTTTTATTAGCCAATGAGAAGCATTTCATGGACAGCAACAATAGAGAATTGGTAGATAATGATCAAGTTAATGAGGAACCAGATTTTCTCTACATCCAAATGCCTGTAAATAAGGACAACTGTCCTTGGCAGATGCTGTCTTGTCTCAGTAGTGTAGGGTTATTGGCAATCTGCCCATAGCCAGGGGACATGTGGCCTTCTGTATACTTCCCTGTTCCTGAGGTAAGGTAACACTGACCTTAAGACTGTGAGATCTAAATTATGTAGCCCGGTCCCCAACAATCTAAGAGATGTTGGATCCATTTTTCATGTTCCCTTATTTTTTTTAAGGTATCTTTCATTAATTGACAATTGACAATAGCCCCATCCTCTAGGTCTAACTCTGTTTTTGCATTGGTCCCTTCTGGTACCCATACTTTCAATCATGTTTTTATTCTCCTGGAATTCTGTTTGAAATTTTCAGAAGGACTCCCATTCTATTCTTTGCTGGTCATTCATGTTGTGCTTCTCTTTTTTAAGCTCCACTAGCTGTTTAGTTGTGTCTTCTCTAGAGTTTCTGATCATTTGTGTCATTGCATGCATTATGTAATTATTATGTGATTAGTTATATCT